CCTGCGGCCGCCCTCGCCTGCCACTTCCGGGCGTCCGACTCCACCGCCGGGTTTTGGGAATGGCTCGTTCCACCGGACGCGGGACGGGGCTGGGCGCCCGGTGCGGAGAACGAGGGTCCCGGGCTATGCCCAGCTGGAAAGCCTTCCCTACCCGAACAGCCCACCTGGGCCCCTCCAGCGCCATGGAGACGTGCGTGGCCGCTGTCGTCTGCGCGCCCCGGTCTGCCGAGCCAAAGGGGCAAGTTGTTGCTTAACTCTGAACAGCTGAAGCCGACAGCTGCGCGGAGGCCCGGGCGGCGACGGACGGCGGAGGCGCGCGTCGCTGTCCCGCGCCGGGGGATGCTGAGCGGAGGCCCGGTCTGCCGACGCCGGCAGCCCGCGCGGGCCCTGGGGTGACCGGCGCCGGCTGGGAAGAGGAGCCGTCCGGCCCCGTCAGCCACCTAGAATTTAAAGGAAGAAAGGGGGGCAGCGACGGAACTTTTTTCACTCAGCTCACAACAAGGAGACACACGTAGGATCTCACACCCCTAAGTGAATCTCTTCGGAGCTGTCCAGGGCCCCACCGTACGTGTGTTTCTGTTCGAGCTCCATTAGACTTCAGCTGCATCAGTTAACATTGATTTGTGTAAAGACTGGAGTTTGAGGACCTCAATGGGCAGAGGAAGCAGTCCGACCCTAGAGCCATCCCTCCCAAGCCCTGTCGTTTTCGTCCGCTTTTAGTTTAGTTTTGTGGGTTTTTTGTTGTTTCAGATAGGGCCTGAAGGTTTTTGGCCAGGCCAGCCTGAGACCCACATCGTCCACTTCCCAAGTACTGCCATTACAGATCTTTGCCATTACACCCAGATCATTAATCCACTCCTTCCCTAGAAAATGGAAAAAGGGGTTCAAATAGTATCTCCCTCTGTGTGGAGCACTGTACAATGCACAGACATACCATGTTTTGAGGGGTGATGGAGATGATAGGGATAGAGCCTTTTCCACCATTGATCTACATCCCCATGGTATGACATCTGTTTTTTCATTTGTTTGTTGTTTGCCGGTCCAGGGCTTCAACTCAGGTCCTGGGCACTGTCCCTGAGCCTTTTTGTGCTCTACCACTTGAGCCACAGCACCACATCCAGCTTTTTCTGAATACTGTAGTTCATTGGAGATAAGAGTCTTGTGGAATCTTCTGCCATGGCTGGCTTCCAACCATGATCCTCAGATTTCAACCTCCTGAGTCAATAGGATTACAAGCATGAACCACTGGCACCTGGCTTGTGACATCTCTTTTACATGCACTCAAGTTCATGGTAGAAATTATCTCCTTTTACATGCAAAACACTCATAACCAGAAAAACATTAACATCCGAAACATACTAGAATTATAAATAAGAACAGACAGAAAAGCTCACTTCAAATTAATATAAGGCAGTCTTATTCCGGTATTTAAGAAACACATTCTTAGAATATAATCATTTCTAGAAGTTTAAAGAAAGCCATACAATCAGACTTTCCAGTTGCCTTGGGAAGTCTGGGTGTGGTAGCACATTTCTTTAATCTTAGGCAGGTGTCTGTGGAAGGATCAGAATCCCAAGCCAAGAGGATGAAGTTAGCAAAGGGCCCTATCTGAAGAACAAACTCAAAGCAAAATGACTGGGGGCATGGCTCACATGGTGGAACACATGCAGATAACCTGGAATTGCATTGTTAGAATGTTTGTGCAGATCAAGGAGCTCAAAAAAAACCCACAAAAACAACAATAAAATCCAACTGTGGAAATGAACACTGAGGAAAAGGGAAGAGGAAATATTAGTGCAAATATTTTTACCATCTCCAAATCCCAACTAAGGAAAAATTAAAGCTGCCATATTCATTGTGGCTGTGTATTAACTTCATAGTATGTCACCAACTTTTACATGACCTTTTTGATCAAACCTTTTCTTATATAAACCCATCTGTGTTATAATAATCCTTTTTTTAACCACTAATCAAATATTATTACACACCAAGTGAAAGTTTGGATACATCAACAACTAGGATAGGTTGACAGATACTATACTTGTTGATTTATAAATGGCCACAATAAGAGGTCTTAATTGTTTCTCAGTGTGTTCCAGTACAGACTTTTTCCTAACTTTGATCTTGCCCTAAGTGTTACAATATACCATATTTTTTCTCCTTGCAGCATTCAATAACCTTATCCAGTAATAAAGTGATAAAATAATGAAGTACTACTAAAGAGTACAGGGCTGGCAAGTAATACTAATAAAAATGTGTTTGACTAATAAAATAAAAGGTGAATGCTGGATTACCAATCCATGAAGAACTACCTTTCTTTGAGTTTTCCATTTACTGAATACCTATTGAATACCTAGCCCATTACAATATGCTTTCCCTTTTTTGGCTACCATAAGAAAAAATATAAATAGATCCCTAAATAACAGTCTGTCACTAGTGAAAATCTTAGTGTGCCATCAGTGTAATATCAGGCTGTTACTTTTCCTCCTCTTAAAATTTCTCCTACAGAACCAAACTCAGCCCTATTTTTGTAAGTTCACACTTGTGATCCGATATTTGAAAATGACATTTGGCTTCTGTAATTAATGTGAAAGGAAAGAAAAGGACAACTCATTTGGAAATTGTGTTTATAAATTTTAGGCCTTTTACATAGAAGAAAACGCTAAAATCCATGTTTCGTAACTTTTTTCGCAATTTGTCATGCACAAAATTTCATTTACTTTCCCTACGTTTCCATTTCCTTCTACATTTCTGGCTTTTTACTATTCTGGTGAATTTCTAGTCCTGTGGGGATTTGTCAGGTCTACTGTAAGGGATATATGTTTTTTGTTTTCCTTCTGTCACCATATGAAGAGTAAGGGTATCCTGCCATTGTAATGGCAGATCAGTACATTTTTATAGCCAGTGAATCAAATACCAATTTTAATCAGGTTTAAAATATTCTAAGGTGGTTAGAATGCTAGTAATTCTAGATTCTGGGCCATTAAATGCCTGAAGGTTTAGAAATGACCATTTTTCAGCTAGGGGAATATATTATGCTGGAAAAATCTTGGTCACCTTGCTGTTAATTCCCCATTAACAATGCAGTAGAAGAAAAAACAAATGTATATGTATATATAAACATAGATTTCATTTTATTTATATATAGGTATATAATATATTTTATTTATGTACACATATTTACATATATCTTCTGTAAGATTTTCCAAAGATTCCACATCTCCTAAGCATTCCCTAAGGGCCAGCACCTAAGTTACTTACCATAATTGGAAATCTTTGACTATCCCAGAATCTATATGGTCACGGTTGCCATAATATATCCTGAAATTTCTCTATTAGTCTTTCTCTCTTTTCCTGGTGCCCTGGCTGTGCTCCTTCTCTACTCTCAGGTATCCTGAGAAATTGCAGTTGACTCTGGACCCCAGAGATTGCCCCAAGGAATCCCAGAGCTCTCCAGACACAGGTCACCAAGCTTGCAACAGCCCTAACTGACTCAGTGCAGCTGCCCCATCTCCTCCTCTTTGTTTATTTTTAACTTTTTTATAATCTATACTTTTTATTTACTAAAGTTAATCTTATTTATTTTTTATTGGGAAATACAATTCAGTTTAAAGCAACAAATGTAGATAATTGCGATTTACATAGATCCCAGCAGAGTTAACATCTCCCAAAACGGTAGCACAATATCATGGTCAAAATAATAACTATATATGCCTGAGACAAGCAGAAACAGTCAGATAACTTGATAGTAGGCGAAATGAACTCCAAGATAAGGACTCAAATGAGTTTTCTTTCTTGCTATTGTTTCTAACATATTGATAAGATGATTTCTTTGTTGCTTTGTATGTCCCTTCCCCACGGTATAACCCCTGTTTTCACTGTATTTGATGTTGGTATACTTTGGGGAGGGGAAGGAAAAAAATTGTTTAAATAGGGATACAGGTGGACCCATTGCAGCAATGAGATGTACAAGATATTATGTGGAAAAACAAACTTTACAATTTGGCGTGGGCCGGGGGAAGGGGGGGATGATGGGAAGAGATGGGAAGGGAAAACAAAGGAAGAGGCAACAATGCTTGATAAGAAATGTACTCATTACCTTGCTCATGTAATTGTAACCTCTCTGTACGTATTTTCTTTTTCTTTTTTTTTGGGGGGGAGGGTCTGGTCGTGGGGCCTGAACTCTGGGCCTGGGTGCTGTCCCTCAGCTCTTCAGCTCAAGGCTAGCACTCTATCATTTGAGCCACAGTGCCACTTCCGGCTTTTTTCTTTTTGCTTATGTGGTGCTGAGGAATCGAACTCAGGACCTCAGGCATGCAAGGCAAGCACTCTACCACTGAGCCACCTTCCCAGCCCATCTGTACAGTATTTTCACAATAAAAAATATTGAAAAAAGAAGGAAGAGGGGGGGAAGAATATGGATGTTATAGAATCAGAATGCAGAAATTCCTTCCCTAATTTTGCTCAGTTATCTCAATGTCTCCAGAGCAATGTGTGGAGGCCTACCCAAAGAGAGACACCCTTCTCCTTTTCACAACACCTGGTTGTGAAGAATTTATTTAAACTTCTGACTCTGCCCTGTAGGCTGTGTGGCCACTTTCTCCTCCAACATCCCCTTCTCCCCCCAAAAATTGATGCCACTTCACCTCACTTGCCTCTGAAGTTGACTCAAACAATGGCAGCACCTTCTCTTATTTATCTGGATACACAAAGGGACCCTACCTTCAAAGTAATTATCTCTGATTGATATTCACTCAAACTCAGGCTCCAAACTGCCTACAGAGGCATATATAATTAAGCTGTGTTCCGAACTAGCAACCTAGCTGTCTTAAGTTTGTGAGGTCTTCCTGAGTTTGTCTTACAGCCAATCAGACACTAAATGAACCTTGGTTCCTTGGAATCTCTTAGCTGGTGTGATCTTTGATTGGCTGATTTTCTGCTACTCTCTCTCCTAGTTTTACTCACTCCTCATTTCCCTTCTGACACCTCTTTGGTTTAGAAACCAAGCCCTGCTGTCACACTTTTGTCAGTTCTGCATTCATACCACTACACAACAATGAATGGCCAACTGCCTCCAGATGGTTCTCTCTGCTATTCAGAATGGTTTTCTGCCAACCAGTCTGCAGGGTTGGAAGCTCTGGTATGGCCGCTTCCAAAATTAGAAATCAGTGTGCACCATCCCCAGGGGCACTGTG